CCACCCCCCACAGTGCTAGCAAGAAAATCCCTGCCCTCAGAAAAGCTTGCACAAGGACAGGCATGCTGGACTGAGTTCCAGTAAAATGATAATGAAGATCGTGAATAGTTTATACTTCTGAAACCAGGCACTCTTCGCTCCCTTGCTAAACTAGCAGTGTTCTTGCTTGTCCTAGTGTATCGTTCTACATCTGGGAATGGGCAGCCCCAGACGTGGGTGGATGTAGGAAGCAAGATGATTCATAGAATATTCTGGCACACACGCTATAAAGCTTGTCACACACAGCCCAACTGGCACACAAAGTCTTGTTTTAACCTGCCCAGGAGGCATGGGGCCGGGACAGGAAGGAGAAGATCTTCAGGAACAAGAATCTAGTGGCCATACCCTGGAAATGCAGCCGGAACACAAAGGCACCCTGCAGCGCATGGGCAGATGGCAGGCTGCCAGCTGGCCACAAGTTCCTGGGACTCCCTCCTTGGGGAGCTCCAACAGGGCCCTGTTCACAACGAGAAGAGCAGACAGGTGGCAGCATGCTGGTTGGAATCCGGACAGTGGCAACACCCCAAGCCCGCTCACTGTCATCCAGGCGACTGACATACCAGCCTACAGGACAGAGAACCTTTCTCCCACGAAGCTGCTGGTGGGCTTGTACCACTGCTGTACACTCCAGAGGCAGGGTGAAAGCGGTGCTCCAGCAGGTGCAGAGGCAAACCAGTACCCTGTGCAAAGATGTGCACACGGGCGAGAAAAGATTGAAGGAGCCGTGAAGGGAGCACTGTGTCTCATGTCATGTATCTGTTAGGACAGCACGCAAACGTCTGACCTAATTGGTTCTCATAAACAGCATCTGTACAGCAAACAGTGGGATGATTTGTGGAAACAGCTGTGCACAGTGTTTCCCTAGTAGAAATGTAAACAACGGTATGGGCTGAGATACGGAACTCACTTTCAAGGCTATGAGAAATTCAAGTGTGAGAATAGCAAACGTGTCTGGGAGCGGGCTGTGAGGCTGCAGTTTTGTACCGTCTCTGTCTGTGTCTAATTTGTGCTGCAGCCCTGTAGTGTCTGTCTCTGTGTATGTATGTCCGTTTGGTTCCATGTTCTTGCTCCCTGCTCGAGAAACCGCGGGGCACGAAAGAAGCAGGGAGGACCCAAAAGGGAAACGCCTCAGTGGTAAGTGAAAATCCACAGGAGGGACTTTTGGGGGTTAATAAATAAACCTGTACGGAAAACCAAAGGGAGCACCACTGTGGTAAGTGAAAATCCACTGGAGGGATTTTTGGAGTTAATAAATTAACTGTGAGAAGCAGGGAAAACCGGAAGGGAGCGCCTCTGTAATGACTTAGAGGGACTTTCGGTTGGGGTGGGGGGGAAATATGGGAAATCCCCCGTCCATGGAACGTGAATACCAAAAGTTGATAAAAGGACTTCTCCATTCTACAGGGGCGGAGGTTAAAGATACATTATTGGGAGAATTATTTGCGCATGTACAACAACATTGTGATTGGTTTTACAGTCAAGATAAGGTGCAATTGAATTCGCGAGCATGGCAACAAGTCGTGAAAACATGACGCGCTGCTCGTCAACGGGGACAGACTGAATTTAAAGCTACGGTCTTTGTGCAGTGCTATTACCTAAGCTTGACAGTTATTAGAGACAGAGAAAGCTGAAGAAAAAGATAAAGATAAGAGAGAGAATGGAATCCAAAGGGAGGAAGAGGAGTATGCAGAAGTAGCTGAGGAGGAATTAGGTCCAGAATTAGCAAGGAAAGAATCAGATGATGTGGGAGAAGGAAATAATGTTCAAGAGATTATAAAATTGCTAAAACAAATGCTTACAAAGAGCCCTTCAGCAGTTCTTTGCCCTCGATTGATTACCTCCTGCGAGGCTTCCCTCTCCACCACCGCCAGCTGCTGCTCCATTGCCCAGAGCTACTTTCACTTTCGCTCGGCAGGAACGTGGGGAGGAGGAGGAAGATTTTCCTTTACCCCCAGGATTGGATACCATTTGTGATAAAGACAAGCCGGCTCCCGATCCAGGAATAATGGCTTTTCCCATCACAAGACAGCCGATTGCCCCTAACGCTCAATTTCCCCACGGAGGACACAATGTCCGCTAGACTACATTACCCTATAAGATTTTTAAAGAAATTAAACAGGCAGTACAGAGTTACGGGCCTCCATCTCCTTTTGTTCATGGTCTGATAGATGCATACTCAGCTGAGAATGTGTAGCTTCCCTTAGATTGGGAAAACTTAGGAAAAGCTGTGCTAGAAGGTTCTCAATGGTTACAACTTAAAAGAGGTGGTGGAGCTAGCATGGATGAATGTATCAGAGCTGGTGCAGGGATCCGAGGAGCCGCATATCAGGCTGAGTTATTGGCAGGGGCTATAGCTGGTGCTGTGGTTTCTGGCAAGCGCTCTGTCTGCTATAGTTGTGGCAAGCCTGGGCATTTTAGCAAAGACTACTATAAAGGGAAATATAATAGAAGAGAGGAGATAGGAGATAAACAGCCCCCTGGCCTCTGCCGCAGATGTGGCAGAGGTCAACATTGGACATATAAATGCCATTCTAAAATTGACAAGAACAGCAATCTATGGCTTCCCGTTGGGCTGTCGGGAAACA